GGTACAGGTTAATATTTGAATCTACTGGTAAATATTGGTTTTATAGTTGAGACTCTTGGTAGATATGGATTGGATTTATTCTTATAGTTATATGTAAACATGGCTCAGCTTAATATTTGAGTCGGCTGGTAAACATTGGTTTTATATTGAGTCTCTAGGTAGATATGGATCGGGTTTATACTCGAGACTATAAGTAAACATTGATCAGATTAATGTTTGAGTCTGCTGGTAAACATTGTTTGATTTTATAGATGTAAACATTGCTCAGGTTAATATTTGAGTCTACTGGTAAACATTGTTTTATATTGAGTCTTTAGGTAGTTATGGATGGCGTTTATACTTGTGGCTATAAGTAAACATTGGTTAGGTTAATATTTGAGTCTACTGGTAAACATTGTTTAGTATTATACTTGAATCACTCTGTAGATATAGATCGGGTTCATACTTGAGGATGTAAGTAAACATTGGTCAAGTTAATATTTGAGTCTAGTGGTAAACATTGTTTAGTTTTATAGTTGAGTCTCTGGGTAGACATTAACCCGGGAATTTCCTTCAGATCTGCTATTGAAATTTTAAGAGAGCTGTGTGCACATTTTCGACTTTATCCTTTTAACCATGGATTGCTGTGCCGTGATCGAGTAATATGGAACGTTGGCAGTAAAGTCCTGTGGTAATAGGCTTTCTGTTGCCTTCTTGTACGAAGTTGGTCGAGTTGAGCGCCGGGTTCTTTTGCATTTCCAATGGATTAATCCAACAGTATGAGTCGGTCGAAACGGAAGTCGTGGTCTGATTACAAAAGATTGTGGTTTATTAATACTTTATATATATCCAAAGCCCCATTATCGATAATATTCATTAATGCAGCCTGAACTGAGGTGACCATTGCAAATCCATATGAAAGAGAGTCAGTGTGTGGTTTAGTCAAGTGATTACATGATAAAATATTCAAAGTAATAATATTAAATGATAGCCATAATATTAATGAATAAATAATTATTAAGAAAACCACTTAATATTTGCTTTGATATACGGCTATGATGTGGATTGATGAAAACAAAGTTTCAACTAATATAGGTTAATGTTGTGACCTTGTTAGAATCAGAAATAAAGACACAAAGAGAGGAATTTAGTTAAACAAATATATTAACAGAAACAGTAATACAAACGTTACAACAAGAATGTTTGGTCCGACAGTCAGAGCTGACTGCTGGAAACTTCCATGTCCAAAAGGCAGTACCTGTTCCTATTTATAGCTGGAAGAGTCCCTGCGTCCGTGGGTAAATTACCATAACAGTTAATATTGAGCAAAGCTAGTCCCTTTCACAATTATTACTGTTTCTCTCTACAAAAATCCGATATTAAATAACCCCGAAAGCGTTGAGATCTCGCATAATACACCAACCAATGTTTGATTTTTTTTTAGAATAGAATGTAAAAATGAATTATTTTCTACTGAAATGTTTTGGCAGGATTGTGAAAATCCTAAAGGTCGATGCTCATGAAGTGAAGAATACGAGAGATGGCTATATTGTATATATTACAAAGATTGTTCACATCTATTAATATACTTACGGTAATTTCCTACGTTGGTTTCAGATTTCAATGAGGCACCTGTCACACTTATTAATATATTTGAATATGGCTATATTTAATTGAAGAAAAAATTCGGTATCATCTCAACATTCGAAAATGCTGTAACGTACCGCGTAGAACAAAAATTCTTTTACACGAAATTCTTTTAAAAACATGACTGAAATTTATGACATATATAAATATTCTGATGGGTGACATTTTAACGTGTTTAATTCTAGTCGGGTTGAGTATTTTTAATTATTTTATGTTAAAAGTGAAAACGAAAAAACAAAGTTGCATTTTTATTATTTGTTACTCTTTAATTTCCGGAAAGGTAAACGACCCTGCCTACAAATTACAGATTCCACGTTTCTTTGCAGAACCAGTAGAAATTGGTACAACTTGTCCTATTGCCCCCACTGTACTCAGCTGCATCTTCGGATTACCACTTACTAAAAAATTTGGTAATAAATTCGATTCTCACGTTGCCTGTAGAAATGACTTCGAACAGGTCATCACCAAGAAAAATGTCAAATTCGAGGAGGATGGAATCATGAAGCTGATCCAAAGATGGTGAAATATAGCGAACAGCACGTGCGACTGAATTTAATATTATTACTAATTACTACTAATTACTATTATTATATTACTAATATTAATAAGTTTGTTTTTACTTGCGTATCTACAGACCTATTTACGGTACATTGAAATATTTTCAAATTTAATTTCCGATATTGTCATACGTATATATCAAGGTCACTTCGATGTACTGTAATGGTTACAGTTACAATTCAGTTTCGAATCTCACTCGGTCTCCACAGTTTTAGCCTTGTGTCACACCTAAGCTACGTTTAGAAAATCATAGGAGTTCTTCAATGTGGTACAATCGTTAGAAAAGCTTGTCCCGTTAGAGCAATTCCGACTGAATACTGAGTTCAATCCTCACTGGGTGCTCCATAATTTCGGTCTTGAGACACATCAAAGGTATGCTGGTTGGTTAATTATTGATTGCAAAACTGATGAAAATTAAATCCACTTATGCTTTTGCTCATTAAATATCATACACTTTGTTGGCAAATATATTTGCCTAAAATTAGGCACATCAATAAATAGATAGCCTAATACTTAGGAATCGGTGTAACATCAAAATTGTTCAAATCGTTTAAAAGCAAAATTGTCTAATTGTTAGATTAAGCTTTGAAACGTTGTATCTTAGAAATGATTAAAGATATCTTACTGGAATTCTCCGAGGTTTTTATAACACTATTGCACAATACTGATGTATAATTACTCTTCAAGCTTAACAGAAGGATCGTGATGAAATCGAGCATAAACGAAAATGACATGTTCATCATTAATTAATCATAGCTAAGAATCGGAATATATATATATTATTTCATGACCATTTTCCAACTTTTAACGTTCTATCCTGTAGTAACAAGGTGCCTCACACATTCCATGTACAATTTCATTTTCAATATTTTTCCACTGCTCTTTGGTCTGTCATTGCTGAAACTCCTCTCTCACGTGCCAAACGTTTTATGGATTGAATTGGATCTTTTCTAATTGATCTCTTTAGCTCTAAGTTGAAATGGTGATCCCTTTTCCTCTTGTGAACTCCTGATCTAGTTTTCCTCTCTACTGTTCCCTATTTTAAACTTATTCACCGTTCTCTTGATGGTTCTTGAATGGACTTTGAAGTATGAATGTTGGTATCATTAGTAAAGGCCTGAATGATCTTTTTCCTTTCATCATTGCTCAGTTGAGAGGAGAGTGTGGCTGACACAAAACAATTTTAACTTGTTCTCTTTCTAACGGAATAAGGGTTTTTTCCGTGATTCTTACGACAAATGGCATCAATATATATATATTCTCATTATGCTATATATATATATATATATATATATATATATATATATATATACATACTGGACTTTCCCGTCGTTTTTCGGCGTATTTCACCAAGAAAATAACAAATTAAAACTGCCGGCTTTGAACAGAATCAGCTACGAATAACTTAATAATGTTCTAAAATGCCTATAAAAAGAACAGTTTTCACTCTTTAATGCGCCCTCGACCATGAAATTTCAAAAAAGAAAAAGAAAAAAAATTACGTAATGGATAAATATTCACGTTCTAATGAACGCTAGAGCATAACTGTCAGCCATAGCATTTAAACGCAAATGAAAAAAAATCAGTAACGGAGACCTATACATAGTTTTTGCCTCATCATTTGCACCCTCGACGATGATCTCAGAAAGAGATGCAAAGTACGTGGGAAATAAAAATGTTTCTCACAGTTACAGTTTATTTCTTGCCTTATTTAATTGTAATATACGGAAAAATATTCGTGAATATGAAAGGATTATGATAAAAATAAGCATACATAATGTTTGTAATTTATTCAATCATATATATATATATATATATATATATATATATATATATATAAAGTTCCTAAAAACTTAGTAATCCGTATGGTTAGTCCCAAGGAGGATGTCATCCTGAGAGCTCAATGTAAATCCAGAGCTAATAATTTAAAGAAAAACAGACCACTTTAAGGTTCCATTGTAATAATTTATTTCACCAGAGACCTTTTAAAGGACGCTGTATCATCAGACATCACTTTTGGAAGTGATGTCTGATGATATATATATATATATCAGGGTGGGTCAAGATGTAATGCAATTTTTTTATTATGTCATGAAAAAGCAACACTATCAAACATTTCTTACATCATGATAAAGCTATATATCGCATGTTTACATCCATTCTTCTCAACAGAATCACCACCTCTTTTTTTAGTGGCAGTGTTTCCCCTACTGATGAGGGCATGTAACTCAGATTCATAAAACCCAGCTGGCTGAAGATGTAGCCAATTCCTTACACCAGTTTTCACTTCTTCATCACCCCATTAACGTTTGTATCTCACAGCCTCTTTTAATTGACCAAATAGATGGAAGCCTAAAATGCTAAGTGACATATTCTAAATCTATGTATAAAAATAAGAATATATTTTTTGACAAGCCAAACCTGACAATAACGGCATTGAAGTAAATGCCCTTTTACTCTTTCCTCATTCGATTTGAATATTCATCAGTTTGTAACGTCTGCTTCCTTGGATTCGGTGTCAACATCGTGGGTGACATTTCTAAGACCTCTTCTGAGAAAAAATAAAAAATGACTTTCTTACAAAGCACAACTTCGTCACGGTTAAAAAACAAAAACAAAACAAAAACAACTATTACGATCTATCCTCTGGGACTCTTATTCTGTGTATCATGTAGGTGAAGTCTCTCCACAACTTCCTCTCTTTTGTATCTCTAGGGAAAATTTGTCTTTTTGCTATCTTTCATTATTCTTGTCATGCCAAGCATACACACAAGCTCGTTACGTAGGATATTTGGTGATTTCGGCTCAGGGACATATCTCATTGAAACACCGGTTTTCGTACAATCATCGTAGTTAAGCAACGTCGAGCCTGGTCAGTATCGAGCTCGGTGACCGCTTGGGAATACCAGGTGCTGTAAGTTTGGATGTGCGGGTGGCGTAATGGATGACGATTCAGAATTGGAAATCGGATACCCAAGTTCCAATTCCAGTTGGGTTCGTTATATTCACTTGGGAAAGATACGAATCAGCCTCTTCTCACACACAACTATACGTTATTTAGTAGGACTTGCATCACTAAATCAGTATTATTTCTCCCCACCACCCACAAATCCTTATAATCTAAAAGTATTTCTGGTTTCAAATAACTTGCACATCGAGATCTCATCTGTTTATACTTGAGCTGGCTAGATGTAGCCGTAAGTTCTATGCTAACAGTTTCTTTTCTCGCGCTTCTCCCCACGGCTCTATGCTTTCCAGCCAAATTTAACCTGCGAAAATTTAAATGCAATATCAATCGCTATCTACTCTTGTCCTGATTACTATTTTCCCTTCCAGTTTCTGTTTCTTAATTATTGCACACCCAGCAACCCCTTTGTGTCTTAGTGGCTTTGCTGCTTTGCAAGGGGTGAAACCGATTAAATAAAAATATAAAACATGTTCATAAGCCCTAAAAAGCGAACAAATCAATCAATATTCGCTGCATTCCTCTGTTCCGTTTGCCTTCAATATGCCCTGTGAGTGTCAAACTATCCAGGCCTTCTTTTCTCTTTAAGTGTACTATAAATTTCAGCTGGTACTTTGTTTTTATCTAAATGGTCATATGAAATGGAGAGGAATCTGCTACCTGAACAAGGACTCATTATTTCTGTTTATTTATTTATTTTTTAGAAAGGCTTGTTCCGACTTTTAACGAAAAAAATTGCATATACAATTAATGATTGAACCATTTTAAATCTGATTTTTCAGATATTTTCATAATAATTATATGAATTTTTGCTTTATATAAAGTTAACGTCGGTTCGGTTATCTATCCAAATTGCGTTTTATCTATTGTAACTATTTAGACTATTTACATTGTTCGGACTGCTGTCCTCATCTTTGTTGTCATATTCACGATGTTTCGGCCGTTGTACTCTCAAGTCTTCTTCAGGATCTGTCTATATTTCTGAGATGAGTTATTTTAACTATTTAGACTATTTACATTGTTCGGACTGTTGTCCTCATCTTTATTGTCATATTAACGACGTTTCGGTTGTTGTACGCTCCAGCCCTCTTCAGGACCTGTCTATATTTCTGAGATGAATTATTCTAACTATTTAGACTATTTACATTGTTTCTACTGTTGTCCTCATCTTTGTTGTCAAATTCACGACGTTTCGGTTGTTGTACGCTCCAGCCCATTTCAGGATCTCTCTATATTTCTGAGATGAGGTATTGTAACCATTTAGACTATTTACATTGTTCGGACTGTTGTCCTCATCTTCATTGTCATATTCACGACGTTTCGGACGTCGTACGCTCCGGCCTTCTTCAGGTGATATATGTTGGAATTCTGAAGCGAATCCTTTATTTAGTCCACCGGTGTAGATTGTTCTCGTTCTGCGTGCCATGCCTTTTCTGGGTATATCAGTTTCAGTTATTTCCCTTTAATAACTTAACTGTCCAATTTTTTGTTCACTTCTGATGTGGCCAGACATTATCTTCAAACCAAAGCTTTTATCCATTGGGCCATGACCAAGTGGATAAAAGCGTTGGTTGAAGTAATCTAGTGACTAGACCCAAAGAGTTGTGAGTCGCATTCAGTTCAAAATTCCAAAGTATATCACCTGAAGAAGGCCGGTGCGTACAACGGCCGAAACATCGCGAATATGACAATAAAGATAAAGACAACTGTCCGAACGATGTAAATGCGTTTTACCTCTATTTTTTTTACCTCCTCCTTCTTGAAATTTTTATGGTAGTAGTAATATTGTCCATCTCCTTATCAGCAAATATTTGGCATTCATTAAATGAGAAGCATGTACTATTGTTGATTTTAATTTATAAAATATTTCTCATAAAAAAAAAAATTAAAAAAAAGGAAATTTTATCAAAGTCCAGTAGCTGTTATCGATCTTTCTAAACAGCGCGTAACATACTTGATGAATTTTAGCAAATGGGTGGTAGAACAGAAAGATAATATTTATTAAAGTTAAAATAGACAGGAAGATGTGGAGGGCCATTATCGCACATAACACAACACGGTACATAAACGAAGAACGTTTGAAGGGATTCTTTAACCTACTTCGATGGTTCTTGTGTCTTGTATATTGGTGAAACTTCGTATAAAACTCTGAGGTAAATATACATTTGTCCGTTAACCTATTCAAAACGGTAAGAGGCAGATGAAATTTCAGGGACACGTAATGAGAAAGGAAGCTCTGGAGAATCTGATACTCACAGGTCGAATAGAGGGAAAGAGATACAAGGAAAAGCAACGCGTGGCATACCTGGAGGGATTAAGGAAGTGGATAACAGAACGTGGTCTGGGGGAGGTGGCAGAGAGACGAAACTTATTGAGAGCTGCAAGGGATAGTGGGAAGTGGAGAGCCATGATCTCCTACGTCATGAAAGGACACGGCAGATAAAAAGAAAAAATGTTTAAAAAGAGAGCGAATAATTCACTCCTTGAGATAAATATTTCACGTATCGTATTTAATAGAAAGCAAATCGTTTCAGATTAAGTTTTATTAATTATTTTCTTTCACGTGTTTGTCACAATGCAGTTAAAACATGCTATTAAATATTTTGTCCAAGCAATATTTTTTGACACCGTCGACTTGTTAGATTTCTTTGAGGCCATGATTAAACAAGAACTAAAAGAAATGTGTGCTCTTTCCCGCAGCCATCTGACGCCATATGTCATCGTTAATCAAACATGACAGAAGTGACAAAACTTTGTTTTGCATTCATTCATTTGTAATATCACTTATAGCTTTCTTATTTATTCTTGAATGCTAGTCAGTATTTTCCATTATTTTCTTAATTAGTTTTACTACTTTTCGTACTGTTAACGGACTATATTTAATTTTACCTCAAGAGAAGTTATCTATTTAGGCAACGTATTCAGATTAGTAATGGATAGTGGCTCGGATTGCGGAATCGGAGAGTAGGGTTCGAATTCCAGTCGAATCGATTACATTCATTCTGGGGAGTGAGAAGAGATGGATTCATTCCTTTCCCAATGGTATTTGCGCGTAAGTGAATATAACGAACCCAACTGGAATTGGAACGTGGTTCTCCGATTTCAACTATGTATCTTTATGTTTGAAGCTTTAAGTTCATGCCAATCAAAAGTTTAAATGCAATGTTGTAATCTAGGGAAGGTTACTGAATAGAATAATCAAAGGAAAGTTGGTAATGAACAATAATACTTAGGACACGAACAACACATATAAGATTCGCCAGCGGCGCGTTGAAGTATTCAATTACTAGAAGTGTCAAGTGAATTCCACAATGAATCTCCACCTGCAGGATATCTACCAACCGCCCCATACGGTCAGATGTCGCACGAGGCCGAATTTAATGTGGGGTGTCCGAGCCCGTAGGCTCATCCAAAAATTCCCTGTCTTACCCGTAAAAAACAGGGTCGGGTAGATGTTTCTCGAAACGAGACTCTGCTCTTCGACATAGCCTCGTCTTTGACCAACACAGCTGGAGTCGAATCTCTATCTGCAGACCAACATACAGTATTTACTACTGTATTTATGTGAATGGGGACATACACATTATCGTCCGTATGTATGCTGCAACAAATGTCACTCGTTATCTCCTGTCCTCTTGATTCCTGTCCTCTTAATTCCTTTTCTTTTATTGTTCTCTCTCCTTCATCATTTTTTACACTCAGTAACCACTTGCGTCTTAATGGCTTTATTGCCTTACTGTGTGGGGGAGGGAATGATTTTTTAAAAAAGGATTACGGAGATTACGCTCATTTAGAAATGTGCATCCTTCACTAGAAATGACAGTTCTGTAAGATTCTTTATAAAGAAAGCATCTTATTATTTATGCCTTTTTTTCACCTCAATCCTGTTTGAGCGCATTGCTTCAGGCCAATGATTCACGGAAATACTCTTGATTCAAATGTTTATATAGACCATATACAACAATATGGTATGCCTCAAATAGATAGACCACATACTACAACAGTACCAAATCGTTTGATCTATAATAATTCTTAATTCAGTGATTTAATAAACACCTTCTGATTTCCACGACTATAAGATACTTATTCTAATTCTCGTATTGTATTATTAAGTATTTGAGATGAAACAACCTTAACAAAATTGTACGAAACAACCTTAACAAAATTGTAATGAAAACCATAATTATGAATGTAGGTGATTATTTAAAGAAGTAAGAGGGTACAAATGAAAAGAATAAAAATTGACAAGGTATTCTCGTGTTTTTTTCTTTTTTATTAAAAATGTCTCTGACATCTTTTTCTTCCGTCTTTCCATGCAATCAAAACTGAGTGGTCTATTGTTTATTGGCGGTAATAGCCAGCAATATGTAGGTACTCATCACGATCGTTCAATACTGATAATTGGTTGCACTTCAAAGTTCAGACAATCGTCCATCGGCCGAAACGTCATGAGTATGACAATCAAAAAGAGCTAACTGGCTTGAATACCAAAGGATATAATTATTACTATTAATTTTATTATTCAGTTAACACTGTTGTTGATACAATAATAGGAGGAAGACCCACTTTAAGACGCATGGATTTAAACGGACGGCTTCAGTTGTACAATAAATCAATCTCAGAATGTTCTGAGGCGATGTCGTCTTATTATTGCACATTGATTTATTCGCATCAGTATTCTCGTCTTTGTTGTCATTTTTACAGTACTTCAGCCGCTCTACCCTACAGCCATCCGCAGGTGTCTTTTGCACTCTGTAAGCTTCTGGGAATGTCAAACGGAACACAGGATGTTTCATGGCAAGGAATAGAAAATTATTTGTTCTCTTATAAGTCTATGGAAGCTTATCGAATGCGGCATGCAACCGAGAAAGACCAGAGGATAAAGTAAAATGGGTAAAATGTTTCGTAAGCGTCAATACATACATATATATATATATATATATATATATATAT